GGAGGCCAGTTACAACATATGAAATATCTCTGATCGCAGGACTACCAAAACTAGCTGTTCTTTGTGGGACATTGGCTCTCGGGAAGTTACCAGACCTTGTTGGTAGACAAAAAACATTGATATATATGGCTCTAGGTATGGTAGTCTCAAACCTGCTGGTAGCTTTCGGGAACAATATTTATGTATATTTAGTATGTAGGAGTTTCTTTTCTTTTTGTTTTGGTGGGGTTGCGGTTGCACTACCAGTTTATTTAAGCGAAATTTCAGAAGATCATAATCGTGTCAAATTTGGATGCCTTATGAACGTATGCTTTCCCATTGGCAATCTGTTATCTTATATTTTTGGACCTATAACATCTGTCAGACTCTTTACCATTCTTTGTATATCGCCACTAATACCATCACTCTTCTTCCTTGCGATTGTAATACCTGAGTCGCCAGTGTATCTTGCCTCGAACTCTAATAAAATCAAAACAATAGAAGCACTCAAGAAATTGAGATCGAACAAGAGTACTGAAGAGATAGAATTAGATTATTTGCATCTACAGAAGGCAATAAAAGATAGACATAATGGATCAAAACCTACTAACTCCATATGGCCTTTCAAACCCGTGGCTTTGAGAAGAGCTTTCATTATAGCAACCATTATCAATAGTGCTCAACATGCATCTGGAGTTGGAGCTATCATGTCATTCTTGGGACCTATTTTCAGTGAAGCCGGAACACAACTATCTGGAAACACGATAGCTATCATAGTAGGCATTGTGAAAATGTCCTCATTCTTCACAACATCATTGCTTGTGGAAAGACTAGGTCGAAGGCCTCTCCTCCTCTTTTCTTCTGCGTCTACTGGAGTCCCACTATTTATTCTAGGTTTATATTTTTACTGGAAAAATACGAATGTCCAATTCATCGAAACAATAAGATGGTTGCCAATCGTTATAGTTCTGATATATGTTGTTTGCTATTCTTCTGGATTAGGCCCTATTCCAGTAGCTGTAACTAGTGAATTGTTCCCTAGTGATGTAAAATCGTTAGCCGTCTCTTACCAAATGACATTCGTAAATTTATTGACATTTATGTTAACTTTCATTTTCCCGATAGTGTCCGAGATTTTGGGAGTTCAATATTGTATTTGGTTCTTCAGTATGAATTGTTTCTTAGGATTTATAGGAATTTACTACATGTTACCTGAAACTAAAGGCAAAAGTATTATGGAAATTCAGACGATGCTATCTAAATAAAACTATGATGATTAAAATGAATTTCATTCTCCAATACTGAGTTAGTCCATATGCGTGACTAGGTGAAATGTTGGGATTATTGAACAATAACATACCAATGATAATTATCAGTAATTCATTGTTTGTAGACGAGCTATCTGCAAACATCTATAAATCCCCGCATAACCAGGTATTATTATAATAAATATTTTTCAACGATTTTGACAACCGAATAAAACGTTCAATTTCAGTCATCCATGTTGCACGTCAGAGTTTATAAAGATAATATCGAAGTGAAAATAATCGACTCACATTTTTGCTGCGAAAAAATGAGGAGATAATGGTTCAACTAATTGATGACTTGTTGACATAAATCTCCAATCAATTTACATGTGTCTCAAAAATAAACAGTTTTTTTTCTGCTAGTAAGTTGAATTGACATTTTGATCAGAAATACTATTTATTTCTGAAACATTATTCATTATTTTAAAAAGAACGACAAATCAACGTTGCTCAATCTAGTTCTCTATAATTTTCGATTCATCAATTCGTGTTAACATAACTCATTCAATTATCATCACCAACTGCTATTCTTGAAAACGAATAAATAATGAATTGAACTGTCAGAAGTAATGTTTCATCTCGCAAAAATAAGAGAAACCGCCTCTTTGCATTATTTTCCCTCGACAAATGGATGGATTAGTTGGATTCTGATGAGTATTCTGATATGATGTTCTTTATGTGGTTATGGTTAGGAAATCATAGGGTGGAAATCCTACAATCAGTTTTCTGCCAGATGGGGTTGAATTGACATTTCGAACAAAATAGATTGCGTTTCTTTGATTCTGCATAGAATAACTGTTTTCAATACTACATTTTGATTCCCTATGAGCTATATAATTGCTTCAGGAGTCTATGTTGACGATGTTTCATTTAACAGAATTTCATTGAGTATTCTTGTTTCATGAAACTTTTTATTCGAATTGATATTTGTTGAATAGATATTCGCTCAAAAACAGATGAAAACCAAGTCAATTTCTTTTTAGGAAACGGGCTGGTCAATTGGTTCCAAACTTCTGAGTTCAATATAGTTATAAGATATTATATTAGAAAAATGAAATGAGTTTTATATGGCATATATAGCTTCAGGAAAACAAGAATTACGATATAAACCTTGAAACAGCGATAACTCTGAACGAGAAAATTTGACTCAACGGCTCTACCGATTTGTATTTGATTTTTTGTGCGTATTCGGTAGGTATGAGAATCGGTCCTAATCTATTTTATAAATCGAAAATTCAAGATGACGGATCCAATATGGCGGACGAGTATTGTTATCCGATTTCATTCAAAATTGGTATTTGGAGGTTTTCGGGGTCGGAGATTATGATTCTCTCGTCAAATTTTGGAAATTCAAGATGGCGGATCCAATATGGCGGACGATAGTTTTGTAATTATGGTCAGATTCTATTGAATATTGGTATCTGAGGGTTTCGGGGTCCGAGATTATGATTTCTTCATCAAAATTAGGAAATTCGAAATGGCGGATCCAATATGGCGGACGAGTTTTGTAATTATGATCAGATTCCATTCAAAATTGGTATCTGGGAGTTCTCGAGGTCAGAGATTATGATTTTTTTATCAAAATTGGAGAATTCAAAATGGCGGATTCAATATGGCGGACGAGTTTCGTAATCATGATCCCATTATATTCAAAATTGGTATCTGAGGGTTTTCGGGGTCGGAGATTATGGTTCGTTCGTCAAAATCTGGAAATTCAAAATGGCGGATCCAATATGGCGGACGAGTTTTGTTTTTATGGTCAGGTTCTATTCAATATTGGTATCTGGAGGTTCTAGAGGTTGGAGATATGAATCATTTGTCAAAATGTGGGAATTCAAAATGGCGGATTCAATATGGCAAACCAGTTTTTTTATTATGATCAGATTCTATGCGAAATAGGTATCGGGGGTTTTTCGGAGTAGGAGGTGATGATTTTTTCATCAAAATTTGAATATCCAAGATGGCAGATTCAATAGGGCGGACGAGTTTTGAACCTCGCGGTCTGCTATGAAGAATCCCTCATTTAGTTTATGTTTGGCAAGAACTTTTTTGCACACCATAATGTAAATGCATTCAGTGTTCATATGGATCCCGAATCACATCACCAAGAACTCCACAAATTACGCAATAATTAAATCATGCAGACACGTTTTCCAACAATAATGAGAACCCACGTTTCAAGGAATGAGAAAAGGAAAACAAATATTATTATCGAACAATAGTTCAATTTGTTCTGAGTGGGAGGAAATAGTATATTGTGCAACAAGTGGCAGGAGTTCAACTTTTCTCACGAGGGTGAAAGTTTGTGGCACGAGCCTGAAGGGCGAGTGTTGCAAACACACGAGTGAGAAAAGTGCTTTTCCCCACATGTTGCACACTATACTCTTTCTACAACTGCTCTTATTCAAAGAATCCGAGTAATACAGCTTATTGGTAGGTATTCATTTTATAATGAGGCACTATGCCACATCGAATATTGTGACCAAAGTGTTAGTCGCCTTTCCTAGTTCCTCAAAGTATTTCAAAAAGTACACTTTTCGAAAAAGACTTTATTTCTGTATTTTTTCAGATTACATAAATTTTTCGTTCATGCCAATTCATACTTTTTTCTTGAACCTTCCGGAAACAAATCCAACATTCGCAGCTTCTTCCATTATTTCTGTCTCTGGTGGTGTATTCATCAAAATCTTCACATCTCGGTATATACATCATATATTATTTATTATGAATTGTTGGAATAATATTTGATGGAAAATGCGATTTCTATCAAAAGCACTAATGAGAACTACCCCAGCCAATCAGGTTTTGGTCGATTTTTGTTGATTCTCCATGGAAATGTATGTGGTGCCGCGAGAAATAGTTATTTGTTTAACTAGGCAGGAAAGTAGTAGATTGACTGCCGAGGCTGAATTCATAGCCGAGCGTAGCGAGGCTAGGAATCCAGCAAAAAATGTAAAGTTGAATTCGTTGCCGGAGAAGTCTCGGATGAAATATGAAGAAAATTATAAACGATTTATGGATTATTGATTTTGCTGATACATATCAATCAGCAAAGTAACCACTTTGCTGCCTAGGCAGGAAAAGTAATACTTTGCTGATTGATATGTGTCAGCAAAATCAATATTTGCTGCCAATCGGAGAAAAAAATATTTCTCACATTATGAGCAATATATGGTTTCGAAACTAAGTTCTCTATGAGAAATACGCTACTTTTCATAGCAGTAGTAGAAAAAAAAGTTTCTATGAAACATTATTTCAAGACGAGTGCTCTGGTTGAGGGACGTACCTAACAAGTTTCCTCTATTGAATTTTCTCCTTGCTAAATTTTTTTTTGTTCCAGATCGCAGTTTGAATAAAATGTGTAGTAATGTATCATTGAAAGTTTGATAAATTCATCTGATAATTCCAATACAATTATTTCACCTGACCGAAAATATAGTGATTGTTTAAAAATATGTGATCCGCTTTCTAGTTCAAACAGGTCTCAGAGATTCATTCGATTAAAGATAATTTTTGCATTATGAATATTTGAATGCGAATTATCAAGAGCATTGTCATCATGATCATTGTTTACTGATGAGAAATGACGAAATATTTGAATATGGATCTGTCTGCTATTGTGGCATTGATACAAATTTTTTTCAGTCTTATTTTTTCATGTAGAGAACTCAGTGATGAAATATTTAGCTAAATTTATCGGCTAATCGAATCGAAATGGGGTTTGAAAATGATGAAATGACAGGAGTTGTCTATAAACCACAGCACGATGGCAAACATGATCAGAAGCTTCAACCAGATAACATCAAGAAGAAAAATGATACATGGTTTCTCTATTTCTCTGCTTTCACAGGTAATTGGAAAAATTACGGAGATTACCAAATTCTCTCTTCACTAGAATCGACTCAATATGGTGATATAGGAGGATATTTTCGTGAGCTTCAAAACTCTTCCCTAACTAAAGAAAAAGGAGAAAATTGATAATCATTTCGTTCCAGCAAGTAGGTATCATTAATGCAAAAGGAATATGGTTGAGAATAAATCAGAACCTAGAAATTTAGGAAGAATCCAAGTAGGGCATTTTTGTTAATTCTAATTATCAGTAAATTGTATGTCATCATCTTTGTACAATCATATTTGGAGGAGATAAAGTGTTCGCAACTTAGAATTGATAAAACTCATTAGAAATGAATTAACGAGAGTATTGAGCATAGGATATTTGAGTATTGGAAAATATATTAAGTGTCTCAAAATTACATGAGATTATTCCAATCGGAGATTCTAGGAACAAAAATTGTAAAACAAAAGTTCATATATGAACATAAGCTTCGAAATGCTCTCCTGGGAAGTTATAGTCATCTGGAAGAGGGTCAGAGATGATATGGTTTTTTGTAAATATTTCCGAAATCCTCTGTAATGAGATAACGTAATTCAATATCTACATGAATCCTTTTAGGCTGTGTCTATTCATCGGGGCGCCCCGCCGTATAGGCAATTTTGCTATCCATCGGGGCGTGATGCGCGCATGCTCATATTCCGCGCCGACGAATAGCATATTTTGTCTGAACATCGGGGCGCCCCGACAAATAGGCACATATTCTATTCATCGGGGCGCACCGTCGTTTAGGCACAGTTGCTATTCATCGGTGCGTAATTCATGATGGTTATATGATGGAATGGGCATGAGTACCTACTTCTTTTATCGTTCTTTTATTTGATCCCGAGTTTGTTCCAGACCAGGAAAGAGTTCCTCTTATGAAAAATGAGAACGGTATTGAAGATTGAGTGAAATAAAACATCAAAAGAACTATTATATATATTTATTCGGTTAAAAATAACTGAAATAAACATATCAAATATGGTCTTTAATATCATGCCAGTTTTTATTGTAGTAGTTTGTGACTTTTCTTATATTTTAAGTCAAGAAGTTCTGTATAATTATTGTCGTACTCAGATTTATTTCTAGAATACGCTAGTTTTTTCAGATAAGCAAGTATCCCTTTGCGTTGAATTTATCTGCATTTTTTCTGTCGTTATATTCATTCTGAATGCTTTCAGGGTGTGAAATAGACATAGTATCAACTGCGCACTTGGAAACTCGATTGTATTGCTTGAATATCTTGGTCATGTGACGGATATTATTCTCACTTTCATGTGCCAACATGAAAGTTGCTACTATTTCTCATTGTTCAACAAAAGCAGTAACTTCTTCGTTACTATGTGATTGTCTTCCTATCAGATGGTCCATCCTTAAAAAACAATCGCTTTCATAATTTACTGCCATATGCCATTTGATTATAAATATTCACCTGGTTTTTTCAATAAATGTGCTGTTAGTTTGTTTCTCGAAGGAAATTTTGTAGGTTATGAATAGGGGTTTAGACAAATATGCTATTTGTCGGCGCGGAATATGAGCATGCGCGCATCACGCCCCGATGGATAGCAAAATTGCCTATTCGGTGGGGCGCCCCGATGAATAGACACGGCCATATTTTCATGCTCGACATCAAAATGATGAGATTTTTTCGAAATTTTGATCAGGGGCGTGGGAAATGGGTGGGGCTAGGGACATTTATTTCCCCAACTTTTTTTCTATTTTTGTTTCACCAGGAAATATGGAAATTTCATGATTTATACGCAGAAATATTCAGTTTTTATAGCACTCACCATTTTCGAGATAAATCGATTTTAAAAGTCTGTTGCGTAACGAAACCAGTGCTTTTTCCTCATAATAGGGTACAAAATTTTTCAAAAAATTATGTTTTGATAAAAAATGCCCTTTTCACAACATCTACTTGTGATGTTCGATTCGAAATATGGAGAGAACAATGAAGATATCAAATTGAAAACTATTATGAGATTATCGAGAAACAGTGCTATTTCAACTACATAGCAGACTTTTGAAATCATAATCATCTCGATAATAGTAGGTGTCATCGAAAGTGAATACGAGTAATATTTTCATATATTCTGGCCAACCAGCCTGAAATTGCATAGAAAAAAAAATCGGGAAGGAATATCCCTAGCCCCACCTATTCTTCACGCTCCTGATCAAAATGTAAAAAAATCCTCAACACTCCAAAATCAGTCATGAAAAGCCCAATCGATATAAGACCTCGTTACGGGACATTACTAATCACTGAGGGTGACTAGGAACAGCCAACCGCCTTCCACCTCCAAGTTGCAGCGCAACGGTCCTCATATTCAAACAGTCCACTTTTGCTTGTGACTTTTAGAGTCGGTTGTTTGGAGGGTGAAAAAGTTTGAAATGAAAAACAATTCGCTGGGACTGACGTCTAGAATTGATTTTTAGAGGTGTTTACGTGACTTTTGGGCTTGTTGATTTTTTGAAAATTTGAATCATAAAGATTTTGCATTACGTGAAATAGTTAGTATTCCTGTGTTTGATCTAAATAGGTGATAATTCGTGATTGTTTCGGGCCAGAATCAATCGCTATTCTCTTGTGGGGTTTTGTGTTGTGTATGTGTGTTGTGTTATGGGCTTACTTGTACCAAGAAACAGTAGTACACATAATTTTCCACTGTGAGGGCTTGTCAAGACTAAGGTTCCTTACGCTGGGTGAGGAAAAACCAGGAGCCCAGAGATACACAGGAGATCTGCAAGCTAGCCTATGGAGTCTCATAGAGAAGGCGGGACTAGCCGAAAATCTCTAATCAATTTTGAGGGCAGACACAATAGATCTGAAAAGGTCGCAGTGTGGAGGCAGATAGCCCGAGGGCCCCATTCCAAATCTAATCTACTTGTACCAAGAGTTGGGTTCTTGGACGTATATTCCTTTCCCGGTATCGAAGATCGTGGTTTGTCGCCTCCTTGACGCGAGGATTTTCGCGATTTTCCATTACTGCGAATGTTTTCACGGCATGGATTTTGTAAAGTTGAATACATGAACAGAAAAACGTCAACTCATCACTCATCACTCATCGGAAATATTCACGAAAAACATCATCTTGGGCCTCCTTTCAGATAGCTCCAACTCCCCAGGGAGCTATTTATGAGTTTTTGTTTATGAATACGTTTTTCACTATTTTTGATCATAGAATTGTGATTGAAATATTCCTATTTAATTCTATATTCCTATGACATTCTGTATAATTCAAGAGAGTTCAATGAAATGAAAATTTCATGAAAAATCAATAATATTCATACTTATTTCATTTTCAACTAGCAAAATATAGGTACTTTTTCTTTTCAAAGATCAAGCCAGCTTGCTTATATCATAATGATATGAACTGAGTTCAATATAAACGCCCAATAAGTATACCCTACAAATATGGAAAATATATTCAGAAATATCGATATCATTTCCTTCATTGAATAGTTTTCTGTATCGTAACACCTATTCTAAAGGTAGAATTTCTCTTGTAAAAAATATCAGCTTCACAGGCTTAACTGCAAAGATTGAAATTTCTCCAACAATGGTCAGTCTACAAGAAGCTTAGGAACTTGAGCCTCTGAACATAATAAACTCAACTAGTGATGATTAGCATTTTCAGTCATAGGCACTTTATGACCCAATAACGATTTACTGTGAATAGTAGTAATTTCGTCACTATAATTTATTTTATAACTTCGAAGTCAAAATGTCAGTGATGGTTATGCAATGAATGAAAATTTCATAGTTTTCACTCAATATAATAACTTAGAAGTGTGAAACTGTCATGACCTATTGAGAAGTCATTATTCACATATTGGTGATTTTAGTCAAACAATCGTCAGTTATCGGAAACTATTTTAAGATTATTTTCTGAAAGTCACTTTTTATGACTTTACCGTTGACAAAAAAACTTCTTTTGAAAATCCTAAGTTGAATTTGTTCCCAATATGGTGTCTAAAATAATTGAATTTTCTTTTTTCTTGAGAAATATCATTAGGTATATGAACAATAATTACGTAATCCGTTAAAGGGCCACCGCAATTATTGTTTTTTAATTTCGATTTGGTATCTCAGAATTTCCATTTAGTGTCTCATGTTTGATGAATTTTGACTTAGAATGTCAGAATTTCGACTTATCATCTAGGAGTCCTTCAATTCCGACTCATAATTTCAAAATTTTGATAATTTCTGAAATTTAACATAATTTATAATGATTCTTGAAATAAAGTCGAATTATTGCCTTTATATTATATCATCTTGAATTTCGAGACCAAATCATCACATTCATCGATGAACTGGCCGTTGTTCATATTATTCATGCATGAGAAAACATCATTTTGCGCGTTTTTGTTTGCATTTTTTGATGAATATATATTTCTCTTATTTATCATATGATCATTATGGTTGAAATGAAAAATAGAAAATATAATATTTATGTGAAAAAAAAATACAAAAAGTCCGTAGGAAAATTCACTCATCTTTACGTAATTTCGACGTCGACGGGACGTAAGTTTTTCAATATGGTCAACATGAACATTAATTCTTACTCATCCGTACATTCAATTTATATTCCTTCCATTTATTCAACTAGTCGACTCTTATTTTCTCAATCTTGAATAATTTGTTTTCATCAATTCTGTATGAATGAATACGACGATCCTCTTCATGAGAAAACAATAACAAACTTTCTCATGAACTCACAGAAAAAAATTTGTACCACCTTGAGAAAAGATCCTCCCAGAACAATCATCTCGAGGAATGGATTATTTTCGTGATTTTCATATACTTTTATTTATTTTCCTCGTATAGCTAACAAGTTGGACAGAGCGGTCGGAATGAAATTTATAGTTCTGTTATATTTTTTGTCCTGGCAGTCGTCTCATCTGTAGATGAGCCCAAGCGATTCATGTCGAGTTGAATGTCACAAGGATTTTTTGAAAATTGCGAATTATTTACCAACGGATAAATCAAGAACTCATGAACCTTAGGGGTTGAAAAAATCCAACACCTACCTCCTGTCTCTATCCTCCTGAGGCACGCACGATGTTCTCCGAACATCATAGGAATTTCCTTTCGTACGCTTGAAGAGTTAAAAAAATAAATAAAAAACATTTTCATGCAGAATAATTTTTACCGCACGGATCACAGTGTGCTATGCGAATTGAAGTGAGATACATATTTGTATGAATTCTCTCTGGTTCATAAATATTCATAGGTACATAGTTTGTCATTATTAAAAGGTTATTTTTGTTCAAGCGAACCTCGTATTCCTGTCAGGTTCCATGGACATGGTATGGACATCACCAGTTATTCCCAAACTGCAATCGAACGATACGACTGTGAACCCTTTAGGCAGACCAATTTCACATTACGAGATATCTCTCATAGCAGGACTTCCGAGATTTGGTGCAATATTAGGAACAATAGCGTTTGCAAAACTCCCAGACATTGTCGGAAGGAAAAAATGTTTGGTATATATGGCTTTAGCTATGACGATTTCGAACCTGCTAGTATCATTTGGCAATCATATATACTACTATTACATAGGAAGGACTTTATTTTGTACATTTTTGGGAGGAGTGACAGTTTGTTTACCAGTTTATTTATGCGAGATAGCTGAGGATCACAATAGAGTTAAATATATGTGTCTAATGTCTGCAACAGTACCAATTGGAACGCTTCTGTCCTATATATTCGGACCTATTACATCAGTCAAAATATTCACCTTACTCACCATAGCTCCAGTTATAGCATTCCTACTGATCTTCACAATAAGCGTACCTGAATCTCCAGTCTATCTGGCTTCGAAAGGAAAGCGAATTGAAACTATGATAGCACTACAAAAACTCAGAAGCAATAAGGATACAGAACAGATAAACAAAGATTATCAACAGATAGAAAGAGAATTGGAAGCTAGAAAGAATGTATCGAATATCAAAACTCTCTGGCCTTTCACAACAAAACCGTTGAAAAGAGCTTTTCTGATAGCAACAGTCATAAATATGGCACACCATTGTGCAGGATCTTCAGTAATCATGCCATTCCTTGGACCAATGTTCAACGAAGCTCATACAAATCTATCTGGAAATAATGTAGCTATTTTAGTAGGCATAATCAAAATATTCATTTACTTCGCAACGTCATTCATAGTTGAAAAAAGTGGTCGCAGGCCTCTGCTTTTATTATCTTCTGCAGCGTCAGGAGTACCATTATTTTTCCTTGGTTTATATTTTTACTGGAAAAATACGAATGCAAGTTTCCTTGGTGATATAAGATGGTTGCCTATTGTGATAATTATAGTTTTCATTATATCCTATGCTATTGGTCTGGGGCCACTTCCCACAGCAATTACAGGTGAACTCTTTCCTAGTGATATCAAATCGTTGGCAATGTCTTACCAGATGATATTTGTGAATTTGGTCATAACTGTGTGGACTTTCAGTTATCCCATAGTGGCCCATTATCTGGGTATTCAGTATTGTTTATGGCTTTTCAGCATGAATTGTTTCATAGGGCTCATAGGCATTTATTATATATTACCTGAAACCAAGGGTAAGAGTATTTTAGAAATACAAAAAATGTTGAGTGATTAAGTAATGTCATCCATGTTTTTTTTTTATAATGAAATCGAGTTCGTTTAGTGATTTATGCTATGAATGAGTATAATAATTTCGAATTGACTCGGTAATTTTCTGATCGAAATCTATAGAGATTGTTAAAGTCGCAGAGCCGATATGTATAAAATAACGGATGAGATTGAATGTTGTATTATAACAATCAAATCCGTTATTTCCGTTACTGCCGTGTGTCGTTCAATACTTTCCATAATCCCGTTGAAATATCACATTCTGATCTCGTGGAAAGCACAAACCACGTACCTTGTGATTCTACAAAAATCCCAAAATCGTGTTGTTATGGAACAGTTAACGGCCGCCAGCCGGAGGCTGTTAACATTAACTTTTCAATTGTCATCTGATTACCGTTGAATCAAGATAACAGTATATGGGATTAGGAGAGAAGTTGAACAATACGACATGACGACATATCGTTCCTTCAAGTGACATACTCGTACAAAATGTCACTTAACATTGACTTGCCAGATTCATACATAGATACAATTTCTGGTAGAAGTCCATGTTTGCTCAAGGTGGAGTGGGATTCCCAAAAAAGTCATCTCCAAAACTTCAATAATGATGTAGTCATCCAATGGGACATGTTTCGGACTTATAAAAGTCCATCTTCAGTCGTATTTTAGAAACTAATGAAGGTGAACATTATTTGTTTTCAAAAAGTTGCCGATGTCTCATCATAATATCATGAATGATAATAATAAAAAGGTTTTTGAAGGAATGAACGGGTTATCATTCAAAATGAAGGGCCCCGTGCCCTAAGAACGCGCACTTGTAAAATCAAAAGTCAAGTCCCAGAACTCTGACCACTTATATTTATAAGTCTTCATTGTTTTGTAGAAATCTCAATATCACACATCACACTTTTAACCGTTCGATATAGATTCGAAATTTGCCATGCATGGGTATATAATCCTGGTGACAATGCGTCTTGAAATTTTTGTTGAAATTAACAAAATTGCGACTCCAATTTCATGATCCAATTCTATTCAGTTTTGGTATCTGAGGGTTGTTTTTGCGGTCATTAATTATGATTCTTCTGTCAATATTGACAAGTTTAAGATGATGCCTTGAACATGGCGGACGAGTATGTTAATATGTTTCAACTCCATCCATCCTCCATCCAGAGTCAGAGATTATGATTGTCTCGCCAAAATTGGGTAATGACTAATGGCGGATCCATAATGGCGAACTAGTTTAGTAGCTATGATCCGATTTTGTTAAAAATTGGTATCCGGGAGATTTCTTGGTCGGAAATTATGATTCTTTTATCAAAATTGAAAAATTCAAGAAGTCGGCTTAGGCATGCATGGGGGAAGAGTTTTGTAATTCCGTTCCGATTATATTCAAAATTGGTACGTGCCAGCTTTTGTTGTCGGAAATTTTTACGATTATTAGCTTTAATTCATAAAAATATGAAAAGTCGAAAATGAAAAAATATGGAAGAATGTTGAAGACAACTTCTTATGTGATGAGGACAAAATTTAAATTATATAGGAAGACAATAAGCTTCCTTAATAATCTACTCAAAATGAGGAGAAATAATAGATCAGGAATCATCATGAAATGATCTGAACAAAGGAAAACTTTCTTATCCACAAGAGTATAAGATTTGAAAAGTTGAATTGAGTAAGTTATGCTATGATCTGTTATGAAAAAGCCATCGCAAATACTTCGTATGCAAACCTCAAAAATGCAATATGAAATTGAACTAATATTTATATGAATATCTCTGATGACGTTTCTTCCACTTGGATTTGGAATTGATTTCGACTGCACAGCATTCACCTGATGAGACGTTGGGCCCAACAACTGGTGCTATTTGAATAGGCGTGAAATTATGCAAGATCTTGTTGAAGGAATGAATATAGATGATGTTATATTTGTAATCGTGAAAAGTTCACGTAGAAAGTTGTCTTGATGAAAATAAATTGCCTCTTGTTTTATTATTGTAATGTATATTTGTCGTTGCCACTCGTTTTGAAATATTGACACAGTGAATCTTTTTTATGAATGGATAAGACTACTCGATTGTTAAAGGAATTATATTTCAAGTTCAATATCGAATATACAACTATAGTTATAATTTCTACGTAATAACAAATCACGTCAGAAATGTCGTCGTTGAATTATATATGGGATTATGCTATTTAATTAATTCATTCACTTTTGAATCCTTTCATTTTGTAATGTTTGTCGAGAATAACAAAAGGCGGTTTGTGAAGACCAAGGTGAGAGAAGGTGTATATTGAAAAGTTGTCGAACATATCTATAATATGACTATAAAAAAACAAAAATATAACCAAAAGGAGGAAGTTTGAGAAATAGAAATGGGTTGAATGAATCAAACTGAAAAGTAAAAAACAGGATACGAAGAATGTTGTCTTGGTCTTACTTAGATAGCATATACAATTGAGTTGCAATGAAATCCTGATTTGGTCATTGAATTGGCAAACTGACAACTGAATGACGTCATCTGTAGGACGTCCTCTTAATAAGCCAAGAGTCAAGACGAAGGACGTAGAAAAGAACAATATACTTCGAAAGTAGTTGACTAACAATAATGGTTTCAACAAGATTAACATTCCAAAGTTATTCTATCCTACAAAAATCTTATACAAAACCATTCATCTGACGATCGAGCACTGCACTTGGATAATGCGTGCTAGCCAGCAATCCAGGCAACTAGGTGACGTTTCAGTGACGTCTCATGACGTGATCAATGACGTGAATAAGTCACAGCCCGATGACGTCATATTACTAACGTTCATTGACGACATTCAGTCACCAAACTGTGAAGTCGGACTGACCTCGAGATTACGTGAAAATGCCGTTCGAATTAAGTCATGATACGTAAAAAAAATCCTCAAACATGGTGTGATAGGCACCACTGATATTTGAAGATATTGATTATGCATTGTTGGGTCTGCTTGTTGGTCCCTCCGTTGTAATTTTCATTCAATCGGCTTTTCCGCAGCGCTATCCTTTAGTACCAATCTCCATCATAATTATATCAGTTACTCGTGTTTGTATCGAAATTTATGTATTTTGTGTCAGCGAGATGTGAGCAAACCAAGAATAGTTTGATAGCAAAGAGAAGGATGTTGGCAAATTGAGTTTCAGTTTCTTGAGTAACGTATATCTATGCATTAACTGTCATCCAACAAACATGTTTATAGCAAATAATTGAAACATTTTTTGAATGACGAAACTCACCATATTGGTACGTCACACCGACGTGATTATTAGACGTCATACATACGTCACTGCAACGTCATAAAGTGACGGTTATAATAGAAACTTCTTTATCATCATATATAGCTTGATTGCTGTCCGAGATATACAGGGTGTCATAGTATAAATAAAAATATTTCTCCTACTTTTTGGGTGGTTATATAATTCCAATTGAACTTTGATGTTGATCTGGTTCAATGAGTTAGGTATACTTTTATCAACGTTAGTAAGCATATAAATAAAATTACCAATATGTGTAACTTTTCGACACTGAAAATGCCCATTTTATATACAGTGTGTGCGATCTCAACCCGCAACACCCTTCTAATTTGGTACCCGTCGACTGATTTACAAAAGCAGAAATTCCATAATATACTACTCAATGAGCTCTATTCGAGAATGTGAACAAATTTGAAATATTCAAATTTTCAAGGCATACTTTTGTTTGTTGATGAGGTCGGAATTTCAAAAACGACTATTAGGTAGCTGAAAAAAACCCATTCGAAGTTTGAACGGAAAAACCTCTATAGGGTGTTAGTTGTTCGGTGGCAAATTTTGAATTTTTTTTTCGATTCTCCCTGTATCAAAATCTATAAAGAGTTGCGATATAACCGGTGAAGTAGTCATTCAATGGAGGAACAAATCGAATACTTAGATACGAAGTTCCATCGTTGTAACTTCAACAGGAAGATCTCTCTAGGTCAACCAAAAATTAATGAAATTGAAGTTGACAATTTTTTCATTATGATCCATATCTTTTCCTCCTGGAAATATAAATATTGGTAACTCATTGGCGGGAATATTTTCTATCCATAGCAATTTTCATTGTCATCTCAAATTTCCCTTTCATTTCGCCAAAATCGGTATATTATTAGTTCTCAAATTGGTGAACTTCAACTTCAATTTTATTGATAGAGAGATCTTCCTGTAGAAGTTACAACGATGAAATTTCGTATTCAAGTATTCAATGTTTTTCTCCATTGAATGACAACTTCACCACTTATATCGATTCCTTAGATCTTGTCACAGGGTGAATCGAAAAATCAAAAATATCAAAATTTGCCTTTTAATAACTAACACCCTATATGAGATTTTGCATTCAAATTTCGTATTAGGGTATTCAAGCTATGCCTGAATCGATTGAGCTGGTAATTGTTTTGACGAAAAATTGCCTAATAGTCGTTTTTGAAATTTTGATCCATTCAGCAATCGAAAGTAGGCCTTAAAAATATGAATATTTCAGATTTGTCCACATTTTCGAATAGAGCACGTTGAGTATTTTATTATGAAATTTTTGTTTCTGAACATCGGTCGACGGGTTCCAAATAAGGAGAGTGTTGCGGGTTGAAATCGCACACGCTGTATATAGGTACGTCACAAACCTAACGGTTTCACATGAAAATGTGAGTATACATGGTTTAGAGGTGGTCTGGAAGAAATGGATGTCGACAGGACGTCCCTGGAACGTCATGAAACTGACGTCTTTTTTAACCCATCTAGTTGACGTTCACTCGACATCCAGATGATCATGTGATTATCACGTCATAGAAAGTACGTCGTAGTGACGTGACATCTCTTACGGAAAATAATCAATCAGGGACATCACAGTAATGTGCTCATTCGTCATCTAGTTGCCTGGGAACCGACTTCGAGGGCTGCGTCAAAGTTTACAGAATTCAATTCCAGTTGAACCAGGAGTGATAAAATTGATTTTTCTCACAGTCGAAGGT